TCATAAACATAGCTGTCTGTGGTTATTTTCTTCCCTGAGGTTTTCATTACATAATAATAGGTAGCAAAATTTGGCTAAATTTGGGTGATAGCTTCGAGGCTACCAGGTACCTCTGGAGATTTGGGTAGGGGAGAAGCTTCAGAATAACTATATTAATCAAAACAAATCCATTAGCATGAGATAAAGGTCTTTACCACAATCCCTCAAAATTAATTTCATTCGTTTTGAACTCAAATTAAAAAAAACACTAAGTCGGATCTACTTGTCTTATTACATACACACTCATTTTCTTTTCCAGGATGAATATTCATGTCTAAAACTTACAAATCTAATCTGAAATTTGCAATCTGGACTTTTAGGAAAAAATGAAGTATTTTGATAGTTTTACAATTCTTATAGACCTCATAAATCTTTCATTCTGGTTTTATATTAACATGCCTCGATTTTTTCCTCTAAAGGAGGTTCCTGAATATCTAAAATTAAAAAAAAAAAAGCTAGTTTGCTTACTTGCAGGAACAGCTACCTTAGTGAATTTTATCTCAAGAAAATTTAAGTACAAATTGTTATTTAAGAAATTTCTCTTGGACTGATGTTAGAGTTTAAATTCATGAGGAATCAAGTATACAAAAGGAATACAGAATCCTTGTTAGAGTAAAGTAGGTTCTGTATGAGGCTTCTACCCGTCCAAGAGGTGTAATATTAAAAGTGCCAGGAGCACAGCAGCACTATACCACTTCCTAAATAATTAGATATTCTGGATGTTAAATCAACTTTCTTTTAAACCTGTAAGTAAAAATAAGGTCAGCTATGCTGCTATTTCTCCTACTGCATTCATTTAGATATACTGCTATTGTATTTTCTTAATTTTAATTTGATAAGTATACATGTTACACTGTAATTTCACATGCCAAATAAGGTGGTTGTATATATTCCTATCACAGAATTTCTAACTAGAAGTTCATGCAAACTATACATCTAACAATGCTCAAATTGTAAAATTTACTTTTTCATGAATGTAGATTTTATTTATAAATCAAGCCTTCCTTTAAATAAGTCAAAAATGAGTATGTCCTACATAATCCTATTATTTGATAAAAAGCCTCAACTTTTAAAGCACAGTGTTTTAAACTGTTGACAGGCTAAATGTTAAAATTCTTTTTGTTAAAACCAACATGAATCATCTCCTTTAGGAAAATCTTTTTGACCAACAGTAATTTTCAAAATAAAGAGGAAAAACTCAAAACAGAGGCAAACTTATAAGTCATTAAAAGCAAACGACAATCATGGTAAAAACAGAGCACATGAAAAGAATATTAACAATTCGAAAAACTGATGAAATCTGAATAAGTTCTGTACGTTAGTTAACAGTACTGTTCTAGGGTTAATTTCTCAGTTTTGATAAGTGTTGTATAGTTATGTAAGATGGTGACATAAGGGGAAGCTGAAGAAAGGGTATATAGGAACGCTACTATTTTTGCAACTTTTCCATAAATCTAAAATTATCTCAAGATTAAAAAAATTATAGAAAACAAAAAAGCTAGTAACTTAAAAATAAATATGCCTTCGGCTGCCAATTTTTTTCTCAAAATATCTTGATATAATTCAAGACTTAATTTTTCAAAACATCATTAGAAATCAATATACTGTTTACATAACATAGTCATTTTATTGCTCTAAAAAATTTAGTTCTCAAAATCATCAGATTGCATATATAGTGATAATGAGGCTAGACACACACACACACACACACACACACACACAAAATAAACTGTATATTATGAGGCTGCTTCTTAGTCAAAAAACATTACAAAAATAGTTGTTTTTACAGCTAAACTATCAAGTAGATATCATATTCTATAGATTGGAAAGTTGAACAAAAAGAAGACTGATGTGACTGATGAGTAACCAATGAATGTATTTGAGAAATCCAAATTACATGCAGACAGAAGAAAATTGGTTATAAAAACCATTACATTACACTGTACTAAAATTTTTGCAATGTTTTAAACATTTCCAATCATGCAACAGTAATAAATACCAAAAAAAATCTTTGTAAAGGAGTTGGTCAAGCTCAACAGGATTTAACATAATATACAACTCAAATCACAGTTGCATAATACATCCAATTCCCCCAAATTTATCTATGCATAAATTGAAGTGTACACTAATTCTCTAAAACTCCTCCTCCAGCCCCATTCCTAATCAATTACCTTACCTATATACCTTTCCATTTAACCTTTGAAATCAGGTTTGATGCGTATGTAATCTGCACGATAACTTCCTTTTTATTTCAGAACAGAAACAAGTAGTCATGTGCTCAGTCTTCAGTTACATTCCTTTCAAAAGGCATTGAACTACTGTAATTGTCTATGAAAATTCAAGCCTAAGAAACCAAGAAAATTGATAGTCAAGAATCTGATCTATGTAATTCTATAAACTATAATACTAATACTAGTAACTTGTGTGTCCATACTTGTAAAAGAAGGATTTCCTATTTGAGAACTATTACTCAATGGATCTCTGAAAGGAAAGTTGTATGACTACTGATTTCTGATGTAAAATGGTTAGGGACCCCAAATATTTACCCAATTGGCTACCAAGCTTATAGTGGAGCCTTTTAAAAAAAATATTCACAGCCACTGAAATAGTTATAGAAATAAAACTGTTCTTAAGACATATAGATTTTCTCATGCAAAATAAATCTGTCCTAACAAAGCAACACAAAATCAATTTAATAACAATTTGAAATCAAATACAGTGGGAAGTTTCTGTTAAAATCATCAACCAAAATTCGTAAATGCAAAAGAATACTGTCTCAAAATATACTGAATTCACATATGTTAATATTGCCATAACGAACTCATGCCAGATATAAATTCAGGTCACCAATTAGATTAAAACAAGTTTGAGACCTATTTTTACAAGAGAAATAAATGTACTTCATGATAAAGGCACAGCAACATCTAAAAAAAATTGATACATTTTTCACAAGATAAAAATTTCCTTAACCATTAATGACACAGCACAGTAAAATTTTCTTGGAAACTTTCAAAAAGGCTTGATTTAACATGCCAGGAAAATTATCACTTTTCATTAATATGCATTTATGTAAATTATGTAAATTGGATCGAGGTCAATTTTAAACCTGGAATTAACAACCCCTAGCAGAAGAAGTACCAGCTGCAAATAATGCTTGTTTATATTATGTATAACTTAGCTGGATATTAAACTACGCAACTGTTGGTGCCAGTCTGCTTATAAAGGCAATGCTCTGGAGACACAGTCTTCTCACAAACAGTGGACAAGCAGGTTTCATTATTATATGTTCAACAATAATCCTCAATTCATTAAACAAAGTCCTGCAAGATAAAAGTTTTCTGTCAGAAACACAAGGAAAAAGGCAACATAATGCAAAGCAAATGCTGATGAAGGAATTTCCCACAGCCATTAAAGAATTGGAAGAAGTAAAAGAAATAACTAGAATGCACTGTAGGCAAATAAAAAAATAAAATTCTCAAAATCAACACCTGTCTTTTGGGAGGGGGGTAAAAGTTCATTTAACAAAAGCATTTAATAAATGGCTATCTCTGAGGGCTAAGATTAGGGATGCTTTTTATCTTTTTTACAGTAGAATCACATTTTTACATTTACCTTAGTCAAATTCTATTAATTCTAAAAAAAAGAGAGCAAGAAAAGTGAAAATTATATAATATGGGCAATCCACCTATTTCCTTAAATGAACATATTGCCTCTTAGAGCTTTCATCTGTAAAACAGGAATATGTACTTCATGGAGTCATAGTGAAGTTTAAATGAGACAACATAGAATATACTCAATGAATGTTACTTCCCAGTTGGATCATTCTACTGATAAACGTGACTGTTTGCCTTCAGGCTAAAGCCAGCTCTTTAACATCCAACACCCTCGAGAATTTGGTCTCAATGAAATTTTCTGCTTCATCTCCTGCCACTCTCTGCCATGACTCCTCTGTTTGTTTCAGTTGTGTTGCATGTTTGTGCCCAAAACACACTGCAGACTTTAACTTTGCCTTAACAGTGCTCATTACCTACAAAGTACTCTTTATTGCATACTGTACACATCATACATGTATTTTACAGGCTAGCAGACACAGAATCATGTATCTTATACTGTAATTTATAAATGATTTGAAGGATCATCAAGGGTAATTTTGATTTCACAATTTTCACCTTACATGCTTACTCATCCTGCATAAAAACACAACTCCTGTTCTACCTTTCTGTATCCTCTGTGTTATTTTTATGGGTAGGAAAGAGCAGGGATCCAGTTTTTAAAAAGGATGTAATATGATCTCACACAAAGACAGGAAGGAAATTTGGAAAGATGCACACTTATCCAAAAATCTTCCCTTCTTCTATCTTCTATCTTTGTGACAGCCCATTACTCACAATTCTCTTAGGTTCCCAGACCAGAAACCTGGAGGTCTTATCTCATTCTTCGTCCTCAGATCCTAAGTTCCAGCCTTCCTAAGTATCTTTCAAATTTATCCCTTTTTTCTTTTACCAGTAAATGAGTACAGACTCGACTACTCTAACAGTCTCCAAATTGATCTATCTCTTTCCCCTCTTGGTAAGCCTGCAATCCATCTTCTAGAATGGTATTTCTACATTGGAGTCCATTACATTCTCTGCCCCTCCATGTTATGACCTTCAAATGCTCCTCCTACCTTCAAATAAAATTCAAACCCTTTCATGACCTACTCTGTTTATCTTCCTTGGCACAGACTTTTATCATTTCCCTATATACTTCTCCTCAGCTTAAAGAACATGTAACTAATGCTATGCCAAATACTTTCAGACACCCAAGTGCCAGAACTCAGACTTCAAAAGATCTGGCTTTATATAAACACCACCTCAGTGAATTCTCATCTCTCTCCCTCTGTTCTTTGTGCTTTCATAGACCCTTCAACATCGTATTGCCTTATACAGCTGTCCAATTCACTCAGCTCTAAGTCGCTAGAAAGCAGGTATTTCAATACTATGAAAACTTATCACCAACACACGATCACTGTCTTCTCAATAAATAAGTCTAATGAATAAAGATAGAAGGCACACTGAAAATAGTTCAATTCCTTCAGGTTACAGATGAGGCCTAAAGAGGTCAATAACTTGCCCAAAGACACCTGGCTAGCTCCTTCATTTTTGGCTCTATTCCTGACATAATCTAGACAAAGTCACACTTCCTTAGGAGCAGAACTGACAGCAGAACTTGTAGTGATAATGGAAATGTCTATCTTTGTTGTACAATACAGTGGCCATCAGCCATACATGGTTTTAGAGCACTTGAAATGTGCTCTAGTATGACTCAGGAACTGAGTTTTAAATTTCATAAATTTTAATTAATTTAAATTTAAATGGTCAAATGTGGCTAGTGGCTGTCATATTAGCACAGCTCTAGACAATCTACACTAGACATCTACAAAATACTGATACCACTACCTTGATAATAAATATTTAGGATAGGTGAAAATGGTATAAACAGGCAATACAGACTATCTCAAAACACTTAAAGAAAGTGTAGTGTAGAAAATGTAATTTTATAGCCTATATATCAATATTTATAATCTCAAATATTTTCTATTTTCCCACTGTTTTGATTAAAATGTGCGCTTATGTGAGATCTTTGAAGACATTTGTGTTATCATCATACACTGCTATCCTTTTTAATTCCAATCAACACTTCTAAATTTCTATTTGTCCTGATCTTATTTTAAGGGTATGTAGAAAAACCACGAGTAGAGAAGAGGAGGGTATAATGAAGTAGAGAAAAACAAATCTGATGAAAAATAGATGTGAGGGTAGGGGATCAAATGTCTGAAATGAATACACGGACCAGAAATAAAAAGGGCAAAAACTCATGAAATCAAATAAAACTGAAAGTTTATTTGCAACTAGGGACTCATTAAGAATCTATGTCTAAAGTAAGCAAGCTCTATTTTAGAAAATATTATAAAGACATTGTCTAAGAAAGCATAAAAACCCCTCAAAGGAGAAGAATCAGAATGAAAGAAAAAGGTAAATAAACTATTAAGAATCTAATGGAATCTAAGCACTTAAAATCATTACTTCGTTTCACCTTCAGAAGGTTTTCTCCTCTACCAACAAAGAAATTAAAATCTAAATAACTAGCCTAAAGTTACACACCTGGCAAATGATGAAATAGCATTCAAATTCAGTTCTTTTTACTTTGTGTAAGAAAATACAATATTGTTCATGCTAACATATTCATTGGATTTCTGGCTGAATTCTATATAATAAATTTATTTTAAACTTGAAAACAAATACGATGTTAACATTTGTATCAAGTAACGTATTTAGGAGACTATTAAAATCAGCTATTCATTTAAGTTTTACTCTAACTTCTGAGACCAGCATGCATAATCTACTGTAAAACAATTTAAGCCTCCATTCTTGAACACTAAGGTAATTCACTAAAATATCTTCTTCCTTAGTTTTCCACTCCCCACTATTCTGCACAAGGCTACCGGAAGATTCTTATGATGCCAAAACCATCATTCCCATACATCTAAAAGATCAATTCCAACTTCCTATCCTGAAACTCAAGAAGTCTTACGATATGGCTCCAGTACACCTTTTTAATTGTCACTCCAATCACCCACCATTCAGAATTTCCATTATCGTCAAATGGGTCTACTCAATTTCCTTTAAACAAGGCTTGTACCTCCTTGCCTCCTAACTTGTATTCCCTACTGCCTTCATAACTAAAATGCTTTAACCTATTTACACTGTCTATTCAAAGGTTTACTCCATCTAGAACAAATTAAACTCTATATTTTGTGAAAATTTCCTAGGCTCTTCTATCTTCTGGCTCAATAATTTCTCCCTCCTGTGGACTACAATACTAATATGATGAAGTAAACATGACAATTTATCATATACTGACTTGTGCTGTATCCTGAACTACTGTTTCATTATTTGACATGTGTTTCTTCAACTAGAAAGTTCCTTAAGAGTGGGACTTTTGTCTTACACATATTTAAATTCTTTAAGCTTTAGTGCTTTGTTAGAGGTTATCAAGATAACTCCAGTCTGCTTCTGAAAAGAAATATAACCACCTCCTCACCAACATTAGATAGTTCTAAGGCCTAGAACTTAAAAGCACAAAAAGATGCCTTATTTCTAAATTCCAACATAAAAACTAAATAACTTAAAAGTTACAAATACTGTATTTCACAGTATTCTTAATAAAACACATTTAAACTTATCACCAGCTTACCGACAATACGGATTTCTTCGAGAGGAATATCGAAGAGTAAGAAATCTGTAATATATAAAAGGCTGGAGCAAACTACCTTGACCACTGAAATAAACAAATACAAGAGTTGTAAATATACATTATCAATTTATATACATACTCTCAAAACTTAAAGACAATTTAACTGGAGAATGTGTCTTCATCAAATGGTCATAGTATTATCTATCATATCTAAATCCAAGTTAGTCTTAAAAAGGAAATAAAAGAATGTATATGATTGGTAATAAAATGTTACTGTTTAAATTTTTATAAACGTATTCATGTACGAAATTTTTTTAAAAGCTATGAAACAGAAACTTGTATAAATGCTTCCATAATTACTAGTGATAATCAAGTTTTAAAACTTTATAACATATTAAAATAAAAACTGGTTCATTTTATATATACAACAACAAAAACCACTAATAAAATCACACAGGTTCACCTGTAAATTTACATAGCTTATTCTAATTACTTTTTCTTGGTTAAAAAGCATAATTACAATACTCAAGAGTCATATGTGTTTATGAAATTCTAAGTTTGGAATTCTTTCCTAGGAAAAACTATCTGGATTAAGATACTCACTGAAATAACTACAAATAAAATGCAGCAACAATGTGGATAGTCAAGTAGCAGGGCTAAGTAAATGATACTATTTTTATTTCATGGACGTAGTATGCAAGTACTTAAAATCTTAATTATGAAAACTATACAGTAACTTTGAAGAAAGCAGAATATAAAACTATATATATTACTATATTTTCTTTTTTTGAGGAAATACATTAAGATGATAAATGTTGTTTCTTAGGTTAATTTTTAGCCTTTTCTTCTAAATTGTGTGATATTACTTTCATAATAAAAATAATTTACGATTACAAACTTATCACTAAATGTTACATCCATTTTCCCCAATAAATGTGACAAATCTTTAATTTTTTTAAATTGAAAAATACATAGTACATAAAATATAGATAGAAAAGAATATTCAATGAAAGGCAAATACTCTATCATCCAAGTGTCTTCCTCGAAGTTATAGCACCATCTCTAATATATCCTTCCAGAAATTTATACACAAGCTTATAACCCTAATAGACTGCTCACTTTATAATTCACTGAATCCACTTAACAACTCTAGGAGGGAAGTGGTATTATCATTCTCATTTTAAAGATGAAGAAACTGAGGCAGAAACATATAAATGCCCCCAAATATATAAACACATACTTCAAAATATAAATGCTAACAAACTTTTAAACTTATTATATCTTGGAGATCATCCCCTATCACAACACATAAATTTACCTCATTCTTTTTACAGCTTCATGTATTCTATCTTATCAAATACTAATATGCAAGAATCTCTCTACTAAGGAGTAAATAAAGCTACAATGGTCATTCTTTTATCTGCCTTTGCACAGGAGTGTATAAATGTGTAAGGTACACTCACACTTTCAGTTCATTTTTAAATACAGGGCTTTAAGAATGATTGCTACAAATATAACTTAATAAAGCCTTCTAATATTAGATAATGAAAGATGTTTAAATAATAATGACTTTAAATTGTTTTTATTTTTGTAATTTGTGTTATATTCAAGTGATATACAGCATTAATAGCTTTTCCTATCAGGGACTGAATAAAACAAATCACAGAACCTGGTGTGACCCAAGACCAGGATTAGGTGACCCAAGAAATAGAAAAATGAGTTAGAAAATAAGAGGGCAAAAAAATCCCCTGTACTAATTAAAGTGTTTAAGTGTCTGATCAGGAGCACAAGAGAGAGAGATGAACTAACTTTTAGGGTGAAAGTTTTATTTAGAGTACAATAATAGACAAATACAATTGTATCAAATCCTGCATTCAACATTCAGAGAATGTAAGAGCTGAAAGGATTTTAGGCAACTATTTTGACTACTAATGGTTTTTTAAATGAGGAAAATGAAGGCTTAGAAGGCTATTAGTCAAATCAACTACAATCCAGGTTCCTAACACTCAGTAAGTCCACGGTATCATTCCAGACACTTATTTAGGTTATACTATCCAGTTGGGACCCCACAACTTAATATATAGTGATTCTGGAGTTTTCAGAGGAAAACATTCCTTTAAAGAATAGAACAGATGCATTTCTATAAAACTCTGTAAAACTAGTACTAGCTTGAAGACTGCTAAAGAAAGGAATAACTATCAGGTATATAAAAATAAAAACTTCAGGCAATGAACATTAAAATGAAATATTTCATAAACAAAAATAAGTTACAAATTAATGAGATTGTGGAGAACAGGTAACAAAAACATTTTAGGTGATATCTGACATGGTCTATTAAATATAAAATGTGCCCAGCTTAGACTCAGCAAAATAAATTTGGTATCTATGTTAAACACTGGCACAAAAGTATAAGCAGACAGGAAAAATGATGTTTACAGCATCAACATCTGGAAAAGTAAATATTTGGAAACAATAGTCCATCAATGGGGAATGGGAAATAAAATGTAGCACACTAACATGATGGACCAGTACCACAGCCACTAAATGAAAAAAATCACAACTCTTATCAACATAAATAAGTCACAAAAAACATATTGTCTGAGTGAAAAAAGCAAGATACAGACAACTGATGCATTGTGATGTTTTGATGTAAAATAAAAACAAGTAAACAAATAAAACCTCACACCCATAATATAATAATGTATATTTTCTACAGATCTGCACTAAGTATTTTTAAGGACTACTTATGTGTACACATTATCGAACTCCTTACTTCTGGGAAGGAGAGGGGAAAAATTGCTACTAGGATTCATAGTCAAATGATATTTTAGCTTTTATCTATAGTGTCCTATTAGCTGTAAAACTAAAAATAGAAAAGGCAATTTGGGCAGAAGTGTTGTTTTAAAACAAATGCAAGAATATCGATGGAGAGTTCAATACTTTTCTAATATTCTAATTTTTAAAAAGGAGGCTTTCTTTATTCATGCATTACGTCTATAATTAAGATACGAACTATCGAAGTAAGTGGTAGTAGGCAACTATTAATATCAGATCATCATTTTTCAGCTTTTTCTCTAGTGTAAGAAAAATCATCTCAATAATGGAAGAATGGACTAATTTCCCAAGATTCTGTCAAAGGTGGTAATTCTGAAATTAATTTTCAAAATGTTAAATGATAAATCACAAAGAATGATAAATGAAAACACATTCTTAGATTTACTATAATGTCTCGGGCTCTCCTCTATAAAGTGAAACGGTAATTACGAAGATCCATTTAGCTATGCATATCAATATCTACTTCAACAGATTTAAGAGGTTAAAATTTGAGTTTATATATTTATTATAGTCACTTAGTCATCAGCTTCCCAAAACAAATGTATTTTTATTCTTACCTAAAAAGCATAAAAACTGTAGCAGGCATCAAGAATATTTCATTACAAGCAATGAATTTCAGAATATTCTGTTGATTAGCGCTTAATTTATCCAAGATAGATCTCAGCAGAGGTAAACTATTTGAACCCTTTGCCTAAAACATAATGAAACAAACAATTAGAAACAACAAACATTTTTTTATCACTCAATTATTATTATTTTTTAGATAAATAACATGTTCAACAGGCAAATACTACCAAAAGACAGGTATTTGGAAATGATAATATAAAACTTTAGAAACTATTTAAGGACAAAAGTTAGTATATTTTCCTGCTTTATTGTATTTTGTGTATTTGAAGAGTTAAAAAGAAAAACAACTTTAATAATACAAGTTCTCCTTATTCTTAGATGCTTCATTTTTCTTAAGATTAGATAATTTCACAAAAAATGGCTATTTCTACCTCTAACAAAATCTGACTACCCAGTAATACAGTCAAAGTATCTGTGACTCCTTAGCTAACTAAAGGTAGAAATTAAAGGGTCCAATTATTGCTGTGATCAAAGAACTACAAGGATTAAGAAAAAGGTCAACACAAGGCAAATCTGGATATTTTAATTCAAATTTCAGTGTATCTGTAGTCAATCTGCCTGGTACACCGAAGTTAGGCTTAATGTTCCAACCCTACAAATAAGAAAAAATTTTCAGAAAGTAGCAGTTCTTAACATTATCAGTGTAAAAGAAATTCAGTACACTCTACTTACTTGGCATGTCAGAACTAAATATCTCTGACAATTTATCAAACTTAAAAGATATGATTTTTTTTAAATAATGAAGAGATCTATTTCAAACTTCAGAAATTCCTCTAGGAACTGAGTAATAATTTTAAATACAATTTTTTTATGTGCAAAATGTATTATTTTGTGTAAAGAGTAAAATATTCCAAACTTAGAACTTTCAAATAACTAAATAATTTAGAACAAGTTTGTAAGGAATAAAGGAACTTTTTGTGACAAATTATAAAATGTCTTAGAACTCAAATTCATGTCAACTATCTGTAATCCAGGAGTCAAAAGCAAAGCAGTTTTACCTACATCAAGAACCTTTTTTGTGTATGTGGCAGCATGAAGCAAAGAGAATAACAAGACTGGGAAAATACTCACTGAAGAAAACAATTAAGGAAAACATTTAAAATTCATCTAGAACTTTGCCAAAAAACAGGCTATGTATTATGTCCAAATATACACATCTGAAATGGCATCTGCTAAAATGAGTTCAGTGATAATTTTTTTCAGTGTTGCAAAGATTAATTTTGTCAAGTTAGTATATACTGGCAAAACAGGTGCTCAAAAACTTTGTTTCCTCCCATGCTCTTTTCCTTCTTAAGACTTATCTAAAAAGGTAATATTTAGTCTTAGGACATTTTATTGTGCTTTCCGTTAGGTAAAGCTGTATCATCAATATTCAAGACTCTCGAGAGCATCAGTTCTCAAAGTACAAAATATTTTTCTGAAGGATGATCCAAGGGAGAAAATAACGATTAAGTTTATGAAACACTAGTAACTTTTAGTCTCACAATGAATATTAGCATATCAAAAGTCCTACAGTAAAGAAACCTACATAACATTTAACCTAGTGCTTCCCAAACTAAACATCAGACTCGCATTCCCATCCCTCCCCCACCTTTTTAGAATATCTATTACTCCGCAACACACTTTTGAAATATGTAAACATTCAAATTCCAAATCAAATAAGTTAATTCTCATTAGCACCAGAGATTATCCATGTGGCCCTATTTTCTACTCTATCCATAGCAAATACTAATTTCATTTATTAATTATCCCATTCTCTGCTTAAATTATTTCTTGATGAACTTCCATTTGTTTCTAGCTCACTGAGAGTTAAAAGGATTGAGGATTTCTCCTTTGTTAAAGCAAAGATGCTTACCCAAAGATGTGAATTAAAGAAAACTTTAAATATTAAAATAAGTCCTGCATAGGATTGTGCTTTGAATCTGAATTTTAAAATATCCACTGCTAATAACAGAGAAGCTTGCAAGAGGCAAGAATAAAGACACAAAGCTTAAAATTCCCACATCAGTAATTCTTATATTAAATATATCTTCATTCACATGAAGTGCGACCAACTAACCAACCTAGGCTGCAAGGAACACCCACATTACTGAATCCTTCCTCTAGTAAAAAATAATCAGAAGAGATCTATATACACAGTAGGCAATTTCATTGTCAAAAAGGTATAAAAGGATACTTGTAACAGGGTAGGAATTGACAAAGATAAGTGAATACAACAGGTAGTGGCAGCTGTCCTCTAACAAAGCCTGGGCCAGGAATGCTCTGCTTAACTGGAAGTGAGGTAATCTTTGGTGCAGCCTCAAAGCACTGGTAAGAGCATTTGCCAGCAAAGCACGTTGGTAAAAGCTTGCTGCTTCATGCAACCTGCAAATTACAAGAGAAGTTATCATGAGACATAAACAAATACCATGCCTCTTCCTCCTTTGTGAATTGCATCATAATTGCACAACACCTAAATCTATTACTTGTCAAATACGAAAAAAATTACTTGAACACATTATACCTTCTTACAAGTATCATATATATACCCAACTGAATTTACATAGCATTCTTCTTGTTAAAAAGCCAAAAATGCAAAAACCATGAACTCATCTCATTCTCACACACCCATTTTCTCTGATTTTCAATGATGTTAGTGTTCACAAAGCACATAATACAAATCTCCAGTAAGCAACATTATAAGGTTAATAGTGCCTTAAGGATGAGACTTTTTTATTGTCACTAAACCATTTGCAGTTTAAAAGTTTTCCACCTGAAAGATATTCCATAAAAAAAACGACTGACCGATTTAATTATCAAAGGCAAAACTACATATAATACATACCCAAGAAGAGGCAGAACAAACAAAGCAGAACAGTATACTGTGAACAAGCGAGAAAGCCACATTGCCGTGTCCAGCTTATTGGTCATCATGAATTGCTGAGTTTAAAAAGAAAAATATTGTAGTAAACTAAGGCTGCAAATTATGTTTTTAAGGATGAAGATTATGCAGTGTTATTCAGATTCAAAATGTTGGACCCTGTAACAATACAATTGTTTTTTTATAATCAATTGTTTCATGTACATACTCAGCAACAAGTTCAAACACCTTATAGTTTTGATGCAGAAAGCACAGAAAGTACTTAAACAGAAAATATCAGTTGGCATTTAAAAAAATAAAAAGACAAATTAGGAAAAAAAATTGAACAGAAATTTAACTACCACTGTCTATATTCCTTCAACACTTTAATATCAGTTTCACCTACTTTAAAAGAATGTTAAATAAAAACTGCCCTCAAAGATGCCTAATCTGAGAAAAATCTCAAATTGAAATAGGAATAAAAAGGCATTACACAAAGCCAGTTTGAATTAAATATACCTTACAAAGGAGAAATGTAAAAAACCATGGTCACAGTCACTCTAGAACTCATCAGCTATGGATGATTTGCTTATATACATAAGGGCCTGGTATACCCCGGGTGTTCAAAATATGGCTGTCTGGTGTTAAATGGCACCTGCCTCTCAGATTTCATGACTTTATCTCTCCCCAACCCTTCCTCACTGCCGTCATCCCCCCTCCCCCCAAAAAGCTCCCTCACAGGTCTTACCTGGTTTTAGTAGCCCTAGATTAAACTTCCATATACCACTTACGCTGCGTTTTTTTCTCATTCTAGCTGTTCTTTGCCGGTTTTTGCCAAGAGATGTGTCCATTGCCGCTAAGGCTATACCTTAAAATCTGTTTTCTCATTCAAAACTAGCTTATGTTTAAATTCTAAAGTAGCTTTTATGTTTTTTGATAGGATCTACATAAATAAAAATAAATAAATTAATAAAAGTTTCACAAAATACCAATCTTTACTATGTGTGATGGATTTTGGTATTTTGTATTCTAGTTGTTTTAGAAATAGTGCTTTCACTAAACTGATTTCAAAACTCACCAATGGGTCTTAATCTGGAGCCTGAAACACTAATCTAAGCAATCTAACTTATCTTTTGAAAGAAGGCATGAAAAACTTTTGGGGAAAAAAATGCAAGCACATTTTAAAATTCAAGGACGTTTTATTGCATGTCTCAAGAGTATGCAGGTAATTTCAGAAATACATCTCTGGTTCATTCTCTCCAACTATACTGTTGACTCCTCTACATTTAAACGATCACCAGTAGTCAAGTGGAAGAATAAATCTAGCTCACTGTGCTGTTTCTCTACAAATATTCTGACTCTACAACATACTTTGAAATTTAATTTTAGAACATCTTTAAAACCTATCTAGAAGTGCTCATTTTGTGAAAAATCATTGAGTTATGAATTCCATTTTGTACACTTTTATGTATACATACAAAATATATTACACAAAATAAAAAAGGTTTTAAAGGTGTATTTATTAATTTAAATTTAAATTTTAAGAGTGAACTGCCCAACCACGTCACAAATAGTGCAGGCAAAAACAAACAAACAAAAACAAACAAACAAAAAAACCACTGCATTTTTGGATGAAAAACTATTGAGGTAAAAAACTACAGTCTCAAAGTATCGTATCATAGAATATTTGTTAATTACAAAAGCAAATAAAGTATCTTTACAATGGAGAATCTGGTGGATACCACTTGAAATAATCAAACTTGGTACCTGTGATGATGAAATAAATCAACATAAAATGCTTCCTGACATAATACACTGAGAAGAACAGAATATTACTTATGTAATATTCCTGCCAATATGTTTAACCTGAATCTAGTTATCAGGAGGGGGGAAAAAAATCAGACAACTTCAATTTGAAGAGTAGCAGCTCTGGACTCTTCAAAGACAAAAATGGTAGGAAGAGGGCAAAGAAACGGTTCTAGACTAAAAGAGACTAAAGTCCAGTAAAGGCAAAGCATGCTTTTCAGTTGAATCTCGGAAGAGGGGGAAGCATTTTTAAAGAACCATTAAGGAAATCTGAATATGACTTGTATAATAGGTTGCAACATGTATTGTTAAATCTCTCAAATTTAATTGCAAGAATTGCAGTGATGACTGCACTGTAGTCATGTAGAATACTGAAGTACTTATGGGTTAACCATGACGATGTATGCAACTCTCAAATGGTTCAGAAAAATAAAAAGAAAAAATGTGTATATAAACAGATATGTTGCAAACTGTTTTTTAAAAATGTGACTCGCTCAATTCACATACTCACAGTGTTTAAAATTAGAGGGTACAAATTTGGGCACAAATTACTAATAAGCAGCAGATCTGCCTTTTAGAGCTAAAAAATTATGAAAAGCATAATATATCTCTTCGTAAAGAAGTAATGACAAAATGACGAAAGAAGAGGAAAAAAAGATCGCTTTCCTCACTTTGCGCCATTTCTACATAATGGCAGTAAATGGATAGAACCGTTCTCTGAGCACGCGTGTGACATGAGGCGTGTCACAGCACAACCTCAGATGACTTCTTCAACCTTGGAACACAGGAAGAAACTAAGGGGTAGAAGACGCAAGAAGGCCTAATTTTCATGACATACAGGTGTGGATCACTTGTTCCAGGCCGGGCTGCAGTCCTTTCCGAAAAAGAAACTTGTAGCTACCTCTACATCTTCGTTCACGACCCCTCGCTCCCCGCAATCACTAATTCCAGTCCCAAAAGCAATGAGCTGTTGGAACGCCTCGGACCCGGCTTGCAACACTTCCCGCTTCTTCCTAACTCTTGGAAATCAAACCAGACCACCCTACCCGCTCACTTACCACTGCGCCCGTCCCTTGGGGGCCGTTCGGGGCCGTATCCGCCATGGGGGACGCACGCACGCGTCTGGGACGCTGCAATCGGGAAGGGAAAAAAAGAGGTCAGCGCCGGGGCCACGGCTCTGATAACCGGATTCTCTGCCCCGTGCCACAAGCCCGGCGCGCCCGCAGGAACTCCAATCCTCCAGAGAGGTACGTTCTCCCCAGCACCAGTGCAGCTGCCTCCCCCGGGGACACCCGTAGTGGCCGGGAAATACCTGTTCCGCAAGGCCAAATACAAAGCTGGGTTTCTAGAAAGACCGGAACGAAGGCGGAGCTTCCGAACAAGACCGAACAGAGCCGACCTAACGCCACCGGCGTAGGGTTACTGCCGGACCCGGAAGTGCTCCTTTCACTTCCGTGGGGAAGAGGCGGTGGAGAAGCAGCCATGACGAAGAGCAGAACCAGGAGTAGTGCCCTGCGGCATGACGGGAAGTGTAGTTTTTTTCTGTTCGACTTTACCTGTCTCGCACGCACGCCTATTGGCTCTGTAAACTAAGAAGCAAAGCTGGAGAAGCAACTTCTCCCTCTTCTCCAGTTCACAGATGGTCGTCCTTTCCCATATCCAGACTACGAAATCTTTCTACTCCCTAATATGGAAGGCTCAGCAACGCCTTTTTTGCTGTTTTCTTCCAGGGGCTCACTAAGCCCCTTGGTTCTGCTTCTAAAATTCTTTCAACAAGCACTTAATGAAGCCTGCTATGTGACAGACTCCAAGCTTGACATGGAGGATAAAAAACAAATATGACACAGACTCACAGACCGCAGGAGAGACAGACACGGAAATCATAGCACAGTGTTTATATCAAACGGGCAGAAGCCAAGTCAATCACACGGAGTAAGGAGGGGACCTAAAGCAGAAGGGGTCTAGAAAAGGTTCCCTGGGAAAGGTAATTCTGGCCTTAAGTTTTGAAAGACAAGGAGAAGTTGGCTAAGTGGGGGAGGGGATTCTAGGCAGCAGCAGAAAGTGTATGAAGCAACAGGGCAGTGCAGAGACTAGTTCAACACGAACAGAATGAAGGTGCCAGTGGGGGAGATTGTGAAAGATTTGGGCTAGAGAGGCAGAGAGGTGTGCTAAGGAAAGGATCTGAACTTGACCCTGAAATCCAGGGAACCATGGTACAATTTTAAGCACAAGTGTAACATAGTGAGATTTAGAAGATAACACTATGGCAACTAGACAGAGGATGATCAGAGGGGCAAACTAAAAGCCGGAGATTAATTAGGAGGCCATTACATACATATAGGAGAAAAATGAGATTCTGAACGGAGGCAATGTTGTGGAGGAAAAGAAGAGGAAGGATGACTTCAAGAGACCATCTAAGATTTGATGACCTACTAGGAATGGGAGGGAAGGTCATCTTCTGAGACCTAGAGAAGAGCTGTAGAGAAGGAAGAGTTAGAAAAGCACTGGACTGAGAAAAAAATCTGAAGGAGTTGGGGGAAGGAAACTGACTAGAGATATACAGAAAAGGTGGTACCCCATATAAAAACCATGGACCTGTAATACTCTGACTCTCTCGGATGTGTAGTTTTCTGCCAGTATCAGTGAGTAGTCCAGGTGCCAGTCAGCTGTAGCTGAGAAGTCAAATGGCACCCTCTTGAAGTCATGTAAACTTTTTCTAAGACCACCGCCCAAGTTCTGGTCCTTCAGAATTACCTGAATTACATATCCCCCTAGCTGAGGTAAAATGCCACATCCTCTCTACTCCTCACATATCATTTATTCCATATTTTTTTTATTCCAAATTTTTACAGCACTTATCACTCTGACATTTTGGGTGCGTGTGTGTGTGCATGTGTGTGTGTGTGTGTGTCTACACTTGGGCTGCCATAACAATGTGACAGGCAGGGTAGGTTAAACAACGTTTATATCTCACAGTTCTAGAGGCTGGAAAGTCCAACATCAAGGTGCCAGCAAGTAAGTTTTATTCTGAAGACTCTTCTCTTGACTTGTAGTTGGCTGCCTTTTCACAGAGTGCTCACATGGCCTTTCCTGGGTGGGTGTGTCTGTGAGGAAAGGGAGGGAATGAGAGAGAGATCTCTCTTCCTTTTTTAATAACACCATCCTTATGACCTCATATACCCTTAATTACCACCTAAAGACCCTATCTCCAAACATAGTCACATTGGGGGTTAGGGCTTCAAAATATCAATTTTGGAGGGATGATTTAAAAGATCCTCTTATTACAAAAATACTAAAATATAAAATGTCCTCTTGTACATTCCATATAGCCAATTGATCTCACACAATATTTTTGTTGATTTTTGCTGAACTCTTGTATCCATAGCAACATATGGTTGCAATTGATGAACCACTGTAATTCAATGAATATCGCTTGATATTTTTGTTAAGGAATAAGATGAAAGTGAAACAACTAAGACATATATTGACACTTCATTCTTTCAACAATGATATGATCAACTTCTTTGTTGGACTGAATATAGTTTTTGAATACTGAAGAATATTTACTGAATTTTGAAGTGCTATTCATAATGTAACAGCTACAGACATAATGCACTTTTAAGTTTAATCTGTATTATTAACATTCTCTCCATCACTTTTAAATCTAAACAATCAATGAAACAATAAATGAAACCATGGTTTGTAGTGTTTGCCTATACTGCCATGGTTAATATGCTCCCACCATGACCTATTTCAATTACTAACATAACATCACTAACATGGAGTTGGTAAGAGACGTGTGTAGCATACTATTATATATTACTGTCATGCAGATTCAGTACACATTAATAACCTCAAGAACACAGATAATGGTAAGATAGAGTAAAAATAATTAGGAATTAATGAGTTTTGAATATTTGTTATCTGTTTTTAATATAACTCATTGTAAATTTATACAATTTAATAATAGTCGTGCATAACAAACAACTTACAAAATTCTTCAAAACTTAACAATCAGTTCTTGCAAGCCAATATGAGCTGGTTCCAGCATACCACTATGTGCCATTGTTCATGATATTCTCCCAGCCCTTCCCTCCACTTCCTTTAAGTATCTGAATTTTTCTTAAACTTTAATGCCCACTCAATCCTACTGCCCAGTAACGCTGTTGCCAATAATCTCTCCTTTTCCCATCAGAAAAATACCCCGTTGAGCCCCCTGACTATATTCTTATTATATTAAGGCACTTATTTAATCCTCTTTTCTATTAGAATTTGGTGATTTTATGTTCATATCAAGATCATAAGTTTCAAGAAAAAAACATGAGAAATTAACAACAGAGTAGAAGAGGCTGGAGGACTTTTGGTTGATGGTCTTATATACAGTATTTATAATTAAAAAAATTTAACTAGTCAGTTAAAAATAAATACATTAAAAATGGTCATAAAATAATAGTAATAATAGACTCTTCAGTGGATGCTAAAACCATTGAGTGAAATGTAGATGGGTGTACAATATTGCCACAGTTCCAAAGTATCGCTCCAGAGATTTTTTAAAAAACTAATTACAAAAGGAAAGATAAGTCTTTCTCCATGGAGCAACATGGACGTTAAAACCTTTACCAATAAATCAAATTTAGTGTCACGAATATAGTGGGTTATTTTGACACTGTCTCCTGATGCGATGTAATACAATATTCACAATATTCCCTATAAGAAAATCTTGGCAGAATGTTTACTCTGAATCTAGTCGAGCCCTTCAAGTCCTAATTTCCAATTTCCAGATAATGTAAAGAGACAGAGTAACAAGTAAAACAATACCATGAGACAAAAATCAAAATGCAGGCCCTTCTATAAAATAACTGGCTTGGACTCTAAAAGTATTATACAAGGTGGAAGAGCTATTTCAAATTTTTTAAATGTACAAAGTCAATAACAACCAAGTACATGGTTTAATTGTCTTGATTCTAGAATTGGGAAACCACAATAAAATAAATTTGGGAATAATTATAGATATTGAATATGAGATGGATATTAGTTGACATTATGTTGTTATTGTTAATTTTTTAAGGGGTGTGTGACTTAGAGGTAAAGTTTTAGGATGTATGCAACTTACATTCAAAAGTTTCAGCACATAAAAAGTATCTAGGTAGATGAATGAACAGATAAAACAGAAGCAAGTATAGCAAAATATAAATAATCGTTGAATCAACGTGAAAGATGTGTACTCATTCAATTATTCTCTGATCTCATCTCTAAATTTCTCGTATTAAAAAGTTTAGAAGAGAATAGAAGTACTCTTGTTATAGCAATGTAATGCCTTCCGAGTTTTAATATGCCAAAAATTATGTAGTACTTTGCTATCAAGTATTATATTTAATGATTGATCAACTGACAAATCAGTTTGGTCCTCCAGTAGTGTTGAGAACAAATAAAATTTAAAGTGACTGGTAGCAAAATATGCCACTTTGGCGTAAGGATTATTTTAAGCTGAAGGCAGTTGAGAAGCAGCAGCTACAAGAAAAGCTCTCTGCCCTTTCCTTGTTTGCCTAAGAACAGGACATAAATTTGTAAAGTTGGTCCCCTCCTCTTTCTATCAAAAGTGGCAAAAGTTATCCTTATCAGCCCAGAGATGGCAACAAAGCAATCTACATAACCAACTTAACTAACTAACCCTTACCTTCTATTAATTCTATGTATTTGTCTTCCCACAATTTTTCACCCTAGAAACTCAAAGTTCTTTTCTTTTGTCTTGTCACTTCTTTTAAAATGTATTATTCTTTTGTTAAGATGCTACATAAGCCCAAATTCTAACCATCCCTTTGAGTTACTCTTTGCTAGGTACTCTCATGTATATGCATCATGCACATGTTAATAAACTTTGGTTTATTTTTCTCTTGTTACTACTGTCTTATGTCAGTCTAATTTACAGCACCCCAGCCAATGAACCTAAGATAGATAAGGGGAAAAGATATTCTTCCTTCCCTATGGAAGTTGCCTGGATTGCAAATGGATTTGTTCCAGTTATTAGAGTCTTATTTTTTTTCCTCATTACCTAACCTGATATTCCAAATAGTTCCTTTACTGCAGTGGGAAATTTGAACAGCTACTAAGATTTATTTATTTTTAATTTTTTTTTTTTAAACACCTAACAGCACCTGGTATTCTTAGGTGGTCTCTCATCCAAGAACTAACCAGGCCAGACCTTGCTTAGCTTCCGAGATCATAGGAGATCGGGCACATTCAGGGTGGTTTGGCTGTAAACTGAATAGCTACTAAGATTTAGAACTTTGAGTAGGATGCCTTTCA